AAATTTCAGTCTTCTTTCTCTAATACAGTTTGACTTTCTATTTTCTTGATAACTTCTATTCTAACTTGGTCCGCCCCCCCTACCAATTTCAGTCTTCTTTCTCTAATAGAATTGGGTGTCTTTTTTTACATCAAATTCCAGTTTTTTTTCTCCAATCTACCAATTTATTACCATGGTTGAACTTAGATCCAAAACCGACCCAACCCGACTCAAATCGACTAGGTCGGTTTTACTTAACATAGGGTCGATTTCAGTTTTAATTTCAGGTAACCCGACCAGATCGGATTAATTGAAAAAATCTCAATAAACCGACCCAACCCGACCGTGAACAGCCCTAGCTCCAATCTTGCTTTACGAGTAGAGCCCAGTTGAAGGTAATAGGATCTCTAAAAGCAAATCATCCATTTACCTTGTTTTTGCATTTCATAATCCATCAAATTATTTTGTTATTGAGCCCAATTTGTTTTATCTTTTCAACTTTCATTTATGCCTTTTTTTTCTGAAGATATCCCCCAAGCTTGTTCCAAATACTCAACACAGCATTACAAGAGCTCCTTCATGGATTATTTGGAAAACAAACTCCTAAGCAGAGACAAAGCTGCTTGTCTAGCAATGAGCCATTCGATTGCAAACTCCAGGGGCATAGAAAACTAGTGTACCCATGAGCTAGGGTATGCACAACAAGATTAGCTGAACGAGGGATAAAATGGGAACTCTAGAGACGTACAACTGAGTAATATTTTGTTGACAACCTCAATCGAAATTCAAAAGAAAAGCTAACTATAAATCGTAAACAAACAAGAAACTAACTGTAATCAAAGGAGTCTAAATTTATTGTGATCATTTTGTTGTGGTCTTTGTGGTATACGAAATAGTGGTCAGCCGTGGTATGATCCAAATATGGTTATGCAGCTTATGTCGATCACATTCTCCTTCACACCATTACATCTTTCAGTCATATCTAGAGTGAAGAAATCAGAACATACCTTAGCCTTGGCGAACAAAGCCGCATTGACTTTGGATGTTGCTCATCAACGTTTAATTTATTGAAACCTTAAATGAAGGTTCAAAATATCGACATAAAATATCGAAATAGAGGGGGTTGTATCGGGGGTGGGGTGCATGGGAATTCTTTTAAGGGTACTCACAACCGAACCAAGGGTATATTTTTGGTTCAAACCAGTACTATCAGTTTATGGAAATTAAAATTAATAACCGTAATTGAACCAAAGCTGATCGGTTAATCGGTTGATCAATTCGGTTAATTGACAGTTCGATTCATCATTCTTTTTGGTTTTTTTTGTTTTTACAATATATATTATAAAAAATATATATATAATAAAAAAACTATATATAATATTATATTTTAAATAATAAATAATATATTATATTATGAATATATATTTTTATATATAATTCATATTTATTAAATTATAATATATAAAAAATAAAAAAAGTATATATATATATATATATATATATATATATATATATACTAGTCGGTTCGATTAACTGCTGATTTTCTATATTGATTAATCGAATCCAAACTATTACCTTTGGTTTTTTGAAAATACCAAACCGACAGATTCAATTAATAAAAATTTCAATTCGGTTTTGATCGGTTTTCGATTGGTTCAGTTTTTCGATTTTTCTTACTCTCCCCTAGATTCTTTATTTCTTTACTATTCTTGGTTGAAATTGGGCCTATAGCGTACCGTTGTATTCTTGCTCCCAAACAAATCCAAGCAGAAAGTGGTTGGAGGGACTGACTGTTAGAGGGTGTATTACATCCACCTGGGGTTGTGACTTGTGAGAAGAAGGTGCAATCAGTGGTCGGGGGTAAATGAAATTCAATATATATATATATATATAAAAACGTGGAGGGTTATCTTCTTCTTCTTGGAGTCATGGGTTGATGGCTTCATGACAATGGGGGTCCAATCATTTGGTTCAATTGTTTCAATTCAACCAATTTTAAAACGGAAAATGTATGATACAAGAAAGATATGATATGGAAAGAGTTTTGACCAATCAAAACCCATTCATGATTTTTGATAAATAAGATTTGATTTGCTATCACATTTATGTTCCAGTTTATTGATCAGTTGTTTTTCCGATATCATATCTTTTCCATATCATAGTCGAACCCTTTTTAAAAATAAAAGACAATAAAATTAAAAAAAGCAAATAGTTTTTTAATTATATTCTTAAGTTTTTTTTCATAAAAAATTAAGCTTAATACAATACATATTCTTTCTTATATATAAATTTAAATATTTATTTAAGGTAGATTTGATCATGTCAAGATTTTTAAAAATTAGGCAACCGAAAATTTGTTCTGATTGTTTAGTTTCAATTTTGGTGGTCCCATCAGTTAATTTTCTTTTTTGATAAGCCATCATTTAATTTAGTTCAGGTCAAGTTTAATAACACTAGTAAAAAATGTTATTCATGAGGCAATTTGGCCATTTTTCATTGTTCTAAGGGTTTGGAGAGCAGCATTTCCGGATAGGCTTTACATTATTTTTTATTCTTTTAGAGCCTGAAAATTCTTTAAATTTCCTTTTTAATATATACATTTTTTTTAATGCTCTTTTAGATAGTATAAGTGTACAACCAAACGTCTCCTTTATTTCTTCTCTGCGGTTAAGTTCCCTTGTTAATCTGTTGTGAACCACCTTTCGACCTGGGGTCATGTCATCTCAGTTCTCCATTCTAGGAAATACCAAATACAAATGTTCTTAGTCAAAACCTATAGTTTATGAATTGCATTATAAAGCAAAATCTTGAATTAGTGACAAAGTGATACGTCGCCATTAAAGTCTTTAATGAAAATTTAAGGGTGGGACGGGGTGTGAGATTTTACAATTTATATAGAGATCAATAAGGTAGGGTATTAAGCTAAATCTAATCTGGATATTGTTGGAAGGCATATGAACTTATGTATTAGGTGTTAAATTTAAAAATATTTTAAATATTATGTGAAAAAATAATTGATAGTTATATATGTTAATCAAATAATTAGAAATTTTGATATTTATTTATATTATTTTATTAATTTATTACTTATATATAATAGAAAATAATAAGAAATTACCCAACTTGCTACCTACCCCACCTCACCCCTCAAACAAGGGTAGGGTCTCGGGGTTCTTCATTTTCATGTATGGAAAGGGTCTCAATTGTGAAAATTGAAGCCATTATAAAGTGAATAGGGCCTAAAATTTACAAAATCCTTCTCCTTGTCATCCCCTATTAAACCATAATTTTTTTTGAGAAATATAGACAGGCCTAGTGCAAATTTCTGATTTCAAAACCCACCTTCTATGTATCAGCCCGTGAATTGTCATTAATTCCAAGCAAACACCTACCCTAACTGTACTTTAAATCTACAAATTCTGACCTTAGGCTGAATCGTCATTCTCCCTTTTTTCTGAACTACTTGTCCGGCCGGGCCTGGGCCTGAGCCTGGGTCTCATCGTAAAACCTAAGTCCATTTCTTGATAGTTGGCTCGATAGTACGAGTATAACCGCAGAGGATTCGAACGAGCCATTTAAAAGCCGCTGACTTATTTTCGCGAGCCCTACGCCCTAGCCCCTTTTTAACTTCAGTCATCCAATTCACGCTGAAATTCTCACTTTGGACGAAGAGGGTTTTCTCGCTGAAATCACTTGATATCAACTCATCTTCCCCGCGTACCAAATCCCTCAATCCTCTTCAGTAACCATGGATTCTTTGCAACCGAATCCTCCTCGTCCATCTTTCCAAACCCTAGCTTCCCAACCTCCGCACTTTACCTCGGAGAATCCATACTTTTCTTCAGAAACCCTAGCTTCTTACGATCAAAGTCAAGTCCCGCATCCCCCTCCAGAAACCCTTGCTGCTTATGATCAAAATCCCCCGCCCCCTCCAGAAACCCTATCTTCGTTCGATCAGAATCCACCACCACCGCCGGATTCATTTTCATACGATCAAATTCCGGTGCCGCCTTCAGAAGCTCAACATTCGAATGACCAAAATCATGGGTTTTCTTCCGAAACAATCGCTTCAAATTATCCTTCGGTGGAGAATACCGAAACCGGGGATCGTGATGCGCCAGAAAGGACACCGGCTAATGACAACGATCAAGAAACGAGTGCTCAGATCCCAAAACCAGAGATCCAGAAACCGCTATGGTCTGATAATGGTGTCAACAACACCCATAGCGGCACCGACAAGGACTATTCTGGTGGGGAAGAGGAGACAACTAGTAGACGGAGGCGCCGCAGTAGGTGGGATCCCCCGTCGGAATCTGACAACCAGAAAGGTGATGCTGGTACTGGCACCCGGAAGAGAAAATCCCGATGGTCCGAAGAAGAACCAAAACCTTTCCAACTGCCTGACTTCATGAAAGATTTAACAGGAGGTATTGAACTTGATCCCGAAATTCAAGCTCTTAATATTAGGCTTCTTGAGATAAATCGGATGCTACAATCGGGTCTACCTTTGGATGACCGCCCTGAAGGCGCTCGTTCGCCTTCCCCTGAGCCCATATATGATAACATGGGGATTCGTATAAATACTCGAGAATATCGTGCCCGTGAAAGACTGACTCGGGAAAGACAGGAAATTATCTCACAAATGATCAAAAGGAACCCTGCCTTTAAACCGCCAGCGGACTACCGGCCTCCTAAGCTTCAGAAGAAGCTTTACATACCCATGAAAGAATACCCAGGTTACAATTTTATAGGGCTTATAATTGGGCCAAGAGGAAACACACAGAAAAGAATGGAGAAGGAAACAGGTGCAAAAATTGTAATTCGGGGTAAGGGATCTGTTAAAGAGGGTAGGTTGCAACAGAAGCGTGATTTGAAACCCGATCCTTCAGAAAATGAGGATTTACATGTTTTGGTAGAAGCCGATACACAAGAAGCACTTGATGCTGCTGCAAGTATGGTGGAGAAGCTCTTACAGCCAGTTGACGAAGGACTGAATGAGCACAAACGGCAACAACTTAGGGAACTCGCCGCTTTGAATGGAACAATTAGAGATGATGAATACTGTAGGTTGTGTGGTGAGCCTGGTCACCGTCAATATGCTTGCCCTGCTCGTACTTCAACTTTTAAGAGTGACGTTCTCTGTAAAATATGTGGTGATGGAGGCCACCCCACTATTGATTGCCCAATGAAAGGTACAGCAGGGAAGAAAATGGATGACGAGTATCAGAATTTCTTGGCTGAATTAGGAGGGACTGCTCCTGATTCTCTTACCAAGCCAAACTCGTCAGTGCCACTTCTTGGTTCCAGCACTTCGGGAAGCAATCCTCCTTGGGCCAGTGGTAACAATTCTGGTGGTGTTGGGAATACGTCACATCCAGGTTTGGGATTGAATGGGGCTAAGGCTGTAAAGGAATATGATGATACAAATTTGTACATAGGGTACTTGCCACCCACTCTTGATGATGATGGTCTGATTCGACTGTTTTCACCTTTTGGTGATATTGTAATGGCTAAGGTAATAAAGGATCGGGTTACTGGTTTGAGCAAAGGTTATGGCTTTGTGAAGTACTCTGATGTTACTCAGGCTAATCAAGCTATAGCTAGCATGAATGGCTACCGTCTAGAGGGGAGAGTAATAGCTGTAAGAGTTGCAGGTAAACCACCTCAGCCTGCGGTGCCTCCAGGGCCTCCTGCTTCTACAATGCCCACTTACCCTGGCTCAGACCAGGCTACTGGTGGATATCCTTCTCAGCAATTTACACCAGGTGGGCCTCTTGGTAATACTCCACCTGGGGGTTACATGAGTGCTCCAGTTCCATGGGGACCGCCTGTTCTCCCTCCCTATGCTCCTTATGCTCCACCCCCTCCTGGTTCAAGTATGTTCACTCCTATCCAAGGTCAACCAATGCCTCATTATGGTGTACAATATCCCCCATCAGTACAGACAGTCCCTCCGGGTGCCCCTTCTCAAAGCATGCCATCTAGTGAGGGACAACAAAGTTTTCCCCCTGGTGTGCAGTCTCAAAACAATACATCTGCACAACCTGCATCCAATAACATGTATGGGAATTCGTTAGCTGGAGTTCCACCAAATGTTCAACCTCCATATCCACCATCTTCGTTGAGTTACTCATCCTATTATACTGCGGTCCCTCCTCCTGCATCTCATTCAACAGTGGACCAGAGTGTGGGAAGTGTCCCTTGGGCCCTCAATCCAGTGCCTCCTCCACCTGTTTCATCTGCAGAACAGACAACATATGGCACAGACTCAGAATATGAAAAATTCATGGCAGAGATGAAATAAAGTGGCAGTTTCACATTCTGTTCCAGGTCGCAAAGGTAAGGGCAAACACCACAATACTTTTCTTGTTTTATTTCTATCTTAATGTTGTTTTATCTGTTTGAAATGATGTTTTTCTAGTTAACGCACCATATATTCTAGTATTTGCTAGAAATGTTTTTAAGGTATTATCATGCTTAGTCTTGGAGAAGATGGAGCAAGATAACAAATTGGCTGTTGTGCTGTATTTTATTATGGCTTTTGAACTCTTTGCTTTATTTATTAAGCAGAAATCTCTTTCAGCTAAAGAGTAAGGCTACGGGAGATGAGCATAATGCTGCCTGGAATATTATTCACCCAAATATTTCGAAAATTTCCACCTTTATTTTGGTCTTGTAATGATATTTCATTTGTTAACCTTTGTGGTCGTGATTGTACTTTGTTGGCAGGCTTGAGGTTTCTTGGAGCTCTTCTCAACCTGATTTCTTACCTGTTGCTCTGACTTCAACTTGTTGGAAGTTTGGGACTCACATCTTTAACCTTGCTGTACTGTTATGACAATTGCAGAGATTTCTGGGCCGAATGTTCACTTCATTTGATGTCATATAGGAGAAGCTGTGGCTGGATGTTTTCAGTAGCATGAGGGGACTGCCATTAAATATGCTAATGTTTTTTTCTTAGTTTTATCTGAACTTTCATAATGATCTATACTAACGGTTTTGTTTTGTTATATTTCATTTGAGATAACTTTGTTCATCATTTTCGTGTTGGTTAAATACTTCAATGGTTTGTTTTAATGAATGCTTTAATTGGTAACACTTGTTTCCGATGTGAGGATTTTAGTTACCATTGGTTACAATGCTACTTGAAGCTGCCTGATGCATGGCCCCTTCATCTCCAGAGCAGGTGATCCATTTCTTAATATACTGCATCCATGTATTGGGTATGTGCCAGATAATTTGCATATTGTTATGATGTTTTACATATGCCTTATTTTTCTGCTTATTTTTGCTATATTAGCCTGATGCGCCTTTCTAGTTCTTACGTGACAGGTCAGGGGTTGTCCATATTGGTATCTGTGGATCTCTTTCAGCGTCAATGTTTGGAGTTACATTTATGTATGCAATTCACATTCCCTGTTTTTCTTTCCTTGGAGGGGTTGCTATCTGTCAAGAATGTACCGATAAACCATGACCAGATCATTAGATACCCTTCCTAGATACTATTACATACCCTTCCTATGTGCTATCTAGCACCTAGATAAGTTGAGGTAGCTTTTCCAATCCATAGGGAGAAGGAGAAAGAGTGAAAAAAGTTAACACAGCCTTCTTCCTTTCCCCCTTAACTCTTCACTTCTCATCCATCGATTTCTCCTTCTTAAGGACCCTTGTGGGATGTATTTTCTGGGGAAATTTTCTTCTAAGACAAAGGTAAGGAACATTGAGAGTGAAACTTATATGGGCCAATATTGTTATTCAACTCAGGGAATTAATTCTCTTGCTATTTTCCTTGTTGCTGACTTGCTCTAAGTGAAAGGGCATTAAGTTTCAGATGTTGCTCAGTTGGTTCAGTCATCAGTACATATATTTTTATTAACATTCATTGTTCTTCAAAATTTAATATAATTTGACTTATCAAAATATGTGGCAAGAATTATTGGGGGCTCTAGGATTGCATTTTTTTATTCATTGCCTAGTATAGTTGGATATCTCAACTTTCAGCGTCTCAGTTATTCTCTTTTAACTTGTATATGAAGTATGCTAACTTTACCACTGAGCTGTTCCAATGCCTTCTTAGAGTTTGTCTCACTTGGCCACTGTAGCATGATAATTTATTCTGAAGGATTAATTGACAAACTTGGTGAGTTTTTTTTGTCACCTGTTACATATTTGGTATTAATATAATCACATGATTTGTGTTTTTTCATGCTATTGCCTTTTCCAAATAGCAGGGTTTTATTTTGTCATTAGTAAAGCCTTTTTGATCATTGTTACTAACAAAAATGGATTATTGGTCTTTAATGCTTTTGTTTCCAACTTTTTCCCATTTAGCAGCTTTGCGTCGATGGATATGTCTTGTGGTATGTATGTAGAATTCTCATAGAATTCTGGCCTTCAAATTAAAAATTGCTGAGATTTGAAGAACAATAGTAGCCAGCAGTCCGGGGTATGTGTATTTCCGCTAGGCCACCTTGGCTGTCAGTACCTAGTAATTGGCAGGGAATATAACAAAAATACTAAAATAAAGAGTGCTTTTTTGTGCAATGACAGCTCTCCTTGCTTAGTTTTAAGCTTGGGATCTGGCTATCTTATATTGTGTGTATGCATTTATATCCTTTTGTGTGCACAATTTTGTTTTTGACTTTATAAGAATTAGTTTTTCCCCCTACAAAGGAGAGATTGAAAAGCAGCATGTAGAACAAGGGAGAGTGGAAGGAGGCAAAGAAAATAGTAGGGAAAGCTTGGAATGAAAGAGGAGATAAAAAGTGTGGCATAGAGTTCCACCTTTCCTTGGGTGTGAATTACTATTTAGTATGGTGTCTACGGTGGAGTTGAGAACAATTGGATAATCCTTAGGAGTCAGTATTGCACTTTTCAAGGGAATTCTTGAGAATAGTGCCATATAATCCAGCCATGTTTCAATAGCCTGCATATAGAAAGAACTAAGGGTAATATATTTTTTCCATCTCTCAGGTTCTTTCAAATATAGAAAATCAAAGAACTTATCTCCAAGATAATCTTGAACTTGCAAATTATTGTACTTTAGTAGAACCTTGCAAATAAACTGGAGGTAACTAAATCCTAATTTTCTTTTTGGTAGAGGAGTTGAAATTTTAAAAAATTAGAAACTAGACAGTATTAAAAGAAATACTAATGAAGACTAAGAAACTCTTGGGCTCTAGCATGTTGGAGCCATGGGTTTATTTATCTATATGAGTAGACAATTGGAGACCTCTTGGCATCCACTTATAGGTTCTCTGTTTTTTTTTTTTTTTTTGGCATTATAGGCACTTAATCTTTTGTTTTTTTAATTAGCTTTTTGGCCTACATCAACTTTTAAGACATTAATAGAACCCAGGGCACATTTTTGGGTAGTTGAATTTATTGTCTTCAATGCTGCATCCAAACCACTGCTAGCAAATTGCCAAATTATTCACAAATAGTCTAGCTGGTAAAAATATAGGAATTTGGTTTTACTATATATTTAATCATATGCTTGGATATATTAATATTTACATATGTACATAAAATTTTTATATAATAGAATCAATTACATATAAAAGGCCTAATTTTCATCTCAAATTTAAAAAACAAACAGCGTTATACTTGACACTTGTTTTATCCTTTTGAGTAAAAAAGTGATAGCTTTCGTGTGGCCTACACGCTTCCCCCCGTTCAGGCAGTACATTGAACATCTTTGAATTTASCTTGAAGAGAACCAAGGCTTTTTTATTGTTTGGTCCCCATGTCAATTCTCATCCAGTCACCTCTGTCATCCAGCCTTACCAGATTAGTCCTCTGAATGCCCTCTCCCCCTAGATTGTGGCACATCATTCAAACGCCTGCCGACGGCAGATTAAATGAAAGAAGAATACATATTGGACTTCTACGAGCTCTTTTAACCAATCTTTTATTCATGATAATGAATAAAACAAGATCTTTTTGCTTGCTGAATTTTTGCTGCATGTCATTGCCATCAATGTTCCCAGCCAGCATCTAAAATTTAATTTCAGAAGTTGTATTCCCTTATTAATGGTGTTGCTTGGAGCTTATATGTCTCATCACTTTCTTTGGTTGGTCTAGTTTTGGCTGTTGGGAGTACTAAATCCCTTTTGACTGCCTTTGCATTAAAGCCGCCTCCAAAAATGATTCACCAGATAGCTTCTTTAGTGAATACTGCATTTGCAGCTAGTGCTCACTGCTTTGATATTTTAGCAACAAAAGTTGTCTCAGATTCCTCCGATCCAGTAGTTGTTTTTTCCCAGTTCTTCGGGGAAGCTTTTAGAGGTGCAAAGTGTTTGTTTGAGTTTTGTACTCTCATTCAGACCTTTAGAAGTGAGTTAAGTTGCAGCTTGGGTTGAGTTCAAGTGACTTATCCACCCTTAGACTGAGTTGGACGTGTGAGTCCACTCTGATTTTAACCATGAAGAGGTCAACTTTATAAATGAAATTTGAAATCTTTTGGCCCCTTCCGTGGCACATTTTAGGTGGATGAATCCCTGTTAGATTCTATTATCTTCAACTAAAATTGCTGAATAGAAGAAGAGGTTTGGTTGTTTTTACAATAGCCACTCAAGAGGTTTGGTTGTTTCTTGTTGGACATTTATGATTTCTGGACTTTGCTTCAGAGACTAGAAACCAGGCTGGAGGCTTAAACATGAGTTTGCAAGGCGCATACTATGGAGAGTAGAGTACTTAACTACAGCCCTCTGAGGGATCTTGAACTATTGATTTTTTTCTGAGAAATTTAGACTTTGGAGCTTTGCTTGAGAGAGTATCTTCGTGGCAGTAGGTCTTACCTGTTCATTGTTCCACAAGGAAATTATTGTAACATCAATAGCAGAAATTAATGACTTTTGTAGGAAACTTCCATGGCAGAAAGTAGAATGAAATTTGTAGGGACAACTGTTGGCGAGAAGTTTGATAGCCCTATAATCTAAATGTAATTCTTATCAGTCTTGCCATGTCATTTTGGTGAAAAGATGGCTTAAAATGTACATGCCATGGTCTATTGAGTAACATCCAAATCCTATTTCTCATTTCTTTTATTTTTGACAAGTGAAATTTAAACATTTAGATCACCAATTGGACGGTGGAGAGAGTTGGGGGATGAGGGGGGAAAAGGGAGGGGTAGTTGGGCTAAATATACATTGGACAAGCAGCTCTCCTTCATATCGGGAGGTTTGAACATCCCTTTACGTGGTCGAGCTGGGCAGATTATTAATATCTTGAAAAATCAAAATATGTGAGTTTCTGTTTTTCTCTTGTTTTATTTCAAAATATACACATCTTTGTTTAAGGCTTGGGAGGTTTGTTCTATAATTAATGTGAACGGTCCCATGTCTATTTCTCCTGCAAAGATACAAAACAATACTGCTGGCGCCGAATGATGATGCCGTAGTTATTATGGCTTTATTATATTTATTTAGGCTCAATTTGGAATGAGAACAAATACAAATATTAGAGCGCGAGTGCAAAGTATGTATTTTCTATTATTTTGTATGTATTTGTATTGTATATATTTGTATTTGTAATCTTTCTAAACTGAGCCTTGGAAATACAGGCATGTCAAGGTCCAAAGTTCTAGAATCTAAGGTTTTATTACGAGTCAAAGTTGAGTTTGGCTTTAGTCAGGGCAAAGCCTGTTCTAACATCCTTTACTGTCTCACATTGAGAATATCCTCCTACTTGTGTGTTTTATTTCATGGGGAGATATTCCCAATGCAAAGTTGGAAAAGACTGTTGGAAAGGTGTAGGCACAGGTTTGCCCTAATGGATTCCGAAGTTTGGGGCAATGTTAAGAAAACATATTGATGCCATGTTTGACAAGTGTTATTAAATTCTCCGGTCATTTGAAAATTTCGAGTTATACGCTATCTACCGTTCACCATTCAAAACAATAAAAAAAAAAATCAAGTGTTTCATGCTTTAAAACTCAAAATTAAAGCAAACTTGTCTCGGTAGGGAACGCTATGTCTAGCATTGCTCAAGACTGGACCCAGAGTTGTAATCATGCCTGGGGTGCAGGTTGGGTGCTGAGGCCAAGCCCAGGTAGGCCTTGATGTAAAAACCTTACCTAGGACATGATTATCATCATTAAATTTTCAAAAACACAAATTAGAATTGTATATTTCACACCAAAACAAATGAAATATTTCTCAACTCCTTGAGAAATTCTCCCTCGCTTGGAATTGTAATTATTGTTACATTTTTATTCATTGCAACAACTGCATGTATAAGCTCATCATCGGATTTTGTCTTATTGCCATGGACTTTGTATTTGTTGAAGAGGTTGCCTTGCGTTATGTATTGGATTCTAATTGGGTTCCCTCGTTGATGAACACTAGTATCTTCGACCTCTATTTCATTTTCCAACTCAATATTAACATCTTCAGTTGTAGCTTGGTTAATTCCCAATACCACTTGCATTTCATTATATATCTCTATGACACGATCATTTACATTAGTTGTAAGTGAATTAACCTACATTGTACAATTCATGATTAATACATGTTTCATTAATAAAACTAACATGTTAAAAAAAAAAACTAAATAAAGAGCATGTGCAATAATAAAAACAATAGTTTAACATCAATGATGTTCTAGTAATTAAGACGCATCATCAAATAAGACCTTGGCACATTTTCCTTGAGTCATGAAATGTGTAGGGTTCAATTTGATCCCTAAATGATGACTACCTTGCAAATTCATTCTTTTGGAGTCTTTGTATTAGAGATTGTGATAGAGGGTCAGTATTTACATCTTTAATCTCATATACTATAA